TATAATGGATGTTTATAATTAGTTTAGTGTATGAAAGTTTCTAGACTAAAATTCAAATTTCGATGATTTTTTTTTTATGAATAAATAGCCGATTTACTCAAAAACAGCATTAACCTACCTGCGAATACGTTGTTACAAGCACGAACAAGTTGAGATATATAAACACCTCAAGATGGTGACAAGGAAACGTCACCATCTAAAAATGAATAATTATCAAAAGGGAATGAAAAACCATCTCTTTTATCATAAATTTTAGTATTAAGCTTCCCGTTAATGATATAGATATTAAGAAGATCCAGGAAAGGGCAGTGTTCATTTTTAGTATTAGTTTTATTTAAACTAAGTTCAAAAGAATAATATCTTTAGTGTACATACTTAAGTCATCACTATTGAGAACCAATATATCACCCAAATATCTAAAAAGTAATATTAAATTTTTGTATTAGATGTTGTCTTCATTTACTCTACACTAGAGTTAATGTGAACCTAGACATTCAGTCACAGGACTTCAAATATTTCAATCCTTTATGGGTTGATTTAAAATAATTATATAAGTAAGCAATAAATGTGGTTGTCAAATTTGATATATGCTTTTTTGTGCTTCTTTGTTAAATATTTGTTTGTTTTTGTCCTGATTGAGACTGTGACACGGTGATGACTGCTGTACCCCAATTTTGACAATTTTACCTATTATGTCTGTTTTGTTCGCGCATCGTTGTAAATTTAATGGAATTTGATGCGACTGTCGTACAAGTGAGATGTTTAGCGCTATAAAACCAGGTTCAATCCACTATTTTCTACATAAGAAAATGCCTGTACCAAGTAAGTAATATGACAGTTGTTATCCATTCGTTTGATGTGTTTGAGCTTTTGATTTTGTCATTTGATTAGGACTTATATCTAGAAATTGACTATGAGGGTCGAGTGAAAACAAACTTTACGACAAAAGAGATGATTTCAGCTTCCCAATTTTGACCTTTTAATTTTTAACCAAGACTTCCAAATGATGCAGTTCAAATCATCACTTCGTATATTTTACGGACGCCATCACGAGTTGGTTGACCGTTATGGAATATCCGTTATACAGATAATATCGGATATGTTCCTTATATAGATATAGGAAGATGTGGTATGAGTGCCAATGAGACAACTCTCCATCCAAGTTACAATTTATAAAAGTAAACCATTATAGGTCAAGGTACGGCCTTCAACACGGAGCATTAACTCACACCGAACAGCAAGCTATAAAGGGCCCCAAAAAATTACTAGTGTAAAACCATTCAAACGGAAAAACCAACGGTCTAATCTATATAAAAACGAGAAACGAGAAACACGTATGAACTACATAAACAGACGACAACTAATGTAATCAGATTCCTGACTTAGGACAGGTGCAAACATTTGCAGTGGGATTAAACGTTTTAATGGTATCAAACCTTCTCCCTTTTCTGAAACAATAGTATAACATAACAACATAGAAAAACACACTATAAAATATGTCGGAACTACAATCCCGTTTCCTTTTCAAGAATGTGACCTATCGAACTAGACTATTTACAGGCTTTGTAAAAGCATGAGCAACACGACTTGTGCCACATGTGGAGAATCTGCTTACCCTTCCGGAGAACCTGAAATCAACCCAAGTATTTGGTGGGGTTCGTGTTGTTTTTTTTAACCCTATTTGTGACACTTTGTTCACGCATCTTTAACAATATGATGAAATTTGATGCGACTGTCGTACAAGTGAGAGGTTTAGCGCTATAAAACCAGGTTCAATCCATCATTTTCTCAAATTGAAAATGCCTGTACCAATTCAGGAATATGACAGTTGTTGTCAATTCGTTTGATGTGTTTTATCATTTGATTTTGTCATTTGATTAGGGACTTTCCGTTTTGAATTTTCCTCGGAGTTCAGTATTTTTGTGATTTTATTTTTTTTTTTTTTTGCAGTCATTGAAACTCATAGATCCTTTCTAAATATTATTGGTGGGGTGTTTGGTTATTGTCTTGGTTTTAAACTGTAATTTTCTAAATCAAGTAAGTTGGTTTCAAACTTTTTTATATATATTCTAATTATAATAAAAAAGACCACTGGATTATAAACTTAAATCGACTGACACCATTATGGCATAAAGTTATATCAGGCTTAAGTTAATGGTGAAAATTGTCCAGTACCCATAAAATATATCTGAAACACTCAAAAAAATGTTAAATAACATTGACAATATAAGTCACCATTCAGTTTTGAGATTTTTTGATCACCTTGTTTTATTTTTATTTTAAAGGTGATATATATATATGTATGTATATCGATTTGATAAAAATGGTGTTGAAGGGAAATTTGTTTTCCAATGTTATATTGAATACATTTTAAATTACAAATTGTTCAAATTTCTAGCCAGGGGTTTTATCTGGTGTTAAAAGCAGTTCCTGAATTGATTAGATACAATAAGTAGACAAAAAAATAGCTCTGGGTTGTTTAGGTTTTTAACCAAATTTTAATAGTTTCATAACAAAATATATCTTTCGAGGTGGAAAGACCTTCAATTGTTCTCTGAACAAATGGTTTTTAATTATCATTATAACCATATTTAGGTCTTTCTACTTTTCTGTGGACCTTTCCACTTTTCTGTGGATTTAAATAAAATAAAATTTGTCGGTATGTTTTTTAACTTATAAACCGTTAACCGTATAACCCTGGGATGTTTTTATCTTAGGCCCCTAGATCCTAACTTAAAAAAATGAGGTCAAGGTCAAAGTTCAAGGTCAAGTTCTCAATTTTGACTTTTCCTTGTTTTTGGCATTTTCTCCAACACTTTATAAGATATATATAAAAGAAAAAATGCAAAATGTTTGCTTAATTGTAATGAAGATATGTTACATTTGGTCTGAAACAATCTAATGACATCTTCTAGGAGTCACTGCCCCTCAGAAAACCGGAAGTAGTCGTTTTTGCACTTTTTTTCATGAAAGAGTACTCGGAATCCATATATTTTGTTATATCAATACATAGATTTTTGGATTCTGTATGAATATCAATATAACATAGTATATAAAGCAACTTGATACATATTAACATTGACACTTTTGTTTTGTAAAACCAAGAATTTAATATAATGATAACAATACGAAATAATGAAAAATCTTAGCAAACCTTTATAACCTCAGGCTTTAAAAAAAGGAAATGTATTTTAAAGTTGCAGAAGACAAATATTTTAATTAAATTTGAGTACGTCTTGTCGAAATTGAGGACTTGGCATACAAGATGCACTCAGTACAGGAGTGTTTTACAGTTAAAAAGATAACCCTATTAACTCGAGTACTACTTAGCCTGTCAATTCGAAAGGCTAAGTTTTACAGATGAGGATATTGTTATTTTCAATGGATGTTATGTAAAATGTATTACTTAATTAGTGTGCCCCAAGGAGGATACATTACTCTAAAGACTACCCCTAATCAGAAGAAACAAAATATTATTTTTTTTTTAATTTTCTCTTATTTCTTTATACATTACATATAATATATCCCAAATTATAATAAGTAAAGATATATTTCTGATGTAAGGTAAAACAATGTCAGTGATTAAAAAACGAGTTATATAACTATAATTGTATGTAATCATGAGACCACGGATTTGTATAGTTTATATTACTATACAAATCCCTATTGAAACCTGTGTAGTTTTTATACGGGAATTTAGGAAAATCAAGTTATAATAATAATTAAAACACATGCCAAACAAAAAGCACCTTTATTAAGTTAGAAGTAGAAGTCTTTTTTATTTAACAAGACTCAGACTTTAAAATTAGATGATATAACTATCTCCATGTTATACATCTGAGAATCATGTAAGGATGTATATAAAAATCTTTATTTTTGTGGCGGTGTCATGTCATTTAAAAAGAAAACTACTTCAACATTCAAAAATATAAAAAGTAGAGATTATTTAGTCGAGTATGGTTCACACTGGTTGAGTATTGTTTATACCTTTGTTCGAGTATCGTTCAGATTGTTAAAATAGATCGAGAGCTGGTCAAGTATTGGTCGAGAGTACAGGTGGAAAATGGATAAAGACTGTTTCAAACTGGTCGAATAACAGTTTCAATAGCAAGAAAAAGGGCCAAGTAAAAATTAGTACAGTCGAGTATAGTTAAGACTTGGTCGATTAATATCAAGTAAATTTCAGACAAATTCAGACCGGTCGAGTAAAAATCGGTACAGTTGAGTACAAATATAGGCCATTCTAGACTTTAACTGGTTTGAAATGTTACGTACTGGTTCATAGATAAGATCTCTATGTTTCATCTCATAGAGACATAACCTTGGAATGTTACCAGTGTAAATGCACATGGTAGGCGGTGGAATTGAATTCTGAGTTAAACATAAACTGAAGGAAGGGGCAGTGCAGAATATTAGTATAAGTTTAAACTCTTAGAAGTTCGGGGCATATAAATGTGGAAATATGCCACATAGCCCTATGTTTTGACCTATGTTTATTCAGTCTAGAATGGCCTATATTTGTACTCAACTGTACCGATTTTTACTCGACCGGTCTGACCGGTTTGAAAATAAAAAGAAGTGCATGTCAACTTTTCATTCTATGATATAATTTTTTATGAAACTTAATAGTAAATGTCGCACAGTTTTCGCCGTAAAGGGAGTTCCTTTGGGAAATTGCATTGTCTATATTTACAGGAATGCGACCATTATTTTGCACACATGCAGACAAAACTTGGTTGTCGATTGTGACCAGTCTTTTTTTAATTAATACTCAGGATATGAAAATTTTCAGTAGGGTTTTTGTTTCTATTTTCGAAACACAAAATAAATATGTTTGTTATTTTTCAGATCTATACAAAATGAAGTATCGCAAATATACCCAAATACAACGGGTATACACTGTAAAACATTTCATAGACACATCAACTGCTCTTGTACAAAACATTCAATTATACTATAAATATAACTGTTAAAGATTAAACATCAAAATAATTACTAACCTGAGAGGGACGATGCAGAATGTACATCTCCTAATAAATTTTCCAATTGGATATCGGAACATGGTTTATAAAAGCTACAGAGTCCTCTTAATATTCCGTCGGGTAGAGAATAATAGAGCAAATGTTATTCACAATTTGCAGAAAAGAAACCAATCTGTATTAACTAAAAGTATGTTCTGAAATCTCCTCGTGCTTATCTTAACCTGAAATAAATAACAGGTAAATTCATTGGTTAAACTACCAAGCTGGATCGATATTATCAATGAAAATAAATAGAAAATCCTTTTCAGCCATTGTATATATATATATATATATATATATATATATATATATATATATGTATATATATAGATTCTACCACTGCATCGAGTGTGATACGATATTTATCCACTCGAGACAGTTAAATTTTCAAATTTAAAACGCGAGGCTCGCCGAGCGTTTTAAATATTTAAAATTTAACTGTCGAGAGTGGATAAATATCGTATAACACGAGATTTGGTGGTGGAATCTGTTTCTCTAATGATTTTCAAACAAAACGCAGGCAAATTTATTCCTTCTTTTCGAATGATCTGCAAAAAGATGTGTTCTTTCTATGTGACGTCATCAGGCATGGTCGCCTTTTTTCATGCCGTCACAATAGAAAATTCAGAGGAAAGCAAGAAAATTCGACGTCATAATCGGATTTTAACCAATGAAGAACTGAGATCAAACGAACCACACGTTGATTAAATTTTTTTTATACAATGGGTGCAGAAAGGGATAAATTGACGAAGAATTAGAGAAATATATATATATATATCGTATCATTATTAGTATAATAGTATTATTTACTTGTCAGTTAAAGAATTTATAGTTTGATAGTTATACATGTAGTCAATTAGTATTTTTCATTTGTTTAGTATTTGGTAGAAAAACCATATTTGTCAGTCGAATATACAGGTGGTTGAATCCCCGTGAGTATCCCCGTCAGTGAAATCAAATTGGAGCAATTCTAAATATTACAAGAAAGAAAAAATATAGGCTAGGGATACTTGCTGAGGATAGGCCTAGGTCTACATGATTATAACCGAAACACCTCTTTTAGTATTAGAAACACAGACCAAAACTGGATTTCTATTCTAAAAATACACAAACAATAATACTAAAAACATGCAAGTGTGAATTTCTTGAAAAATATGAAAATAAATGCTGGAAAATGTATTCCATAACAAGAAATATTTATCATACACTGAGTTTCCCAGCTCTAAATTACTCTTAATGTATGCAAATAGAAAATAGAATCAATGACGAAGGATAATAATAAGATATACTGGATTGGTCCTGGACCTAATCGATTCTAATATATGTAAATCAGGTGTCGATTCATGAACTTACTGCATCCAGTAAATTATTTGTAAACTACTATTAAACATTGCGTTTACCTGACCTATAAACTATTAGAAAAACAATAAAGTTGAAAATTACGACTGATTTTCAAGTAGTTTATAGATTCCTTAAACTAATAGTTTCGTGCACTGAACTCAAACAGGGATTACCTACGAGATAAAACAAAACAAAATTAAATAAAATTTATTTTTTGTGCAATTACTAATCCAAGTGACATAATGAAATAATAAATTGGTTTTAGCAGCACGTATGGTTCAATTTTGTCAAAATAAGCAAAAAAACACTGCTGATTAATTCTTTACTTGCAAGTGAATATTTCCAATTCATTCTATCCATATTCACGTGACCTTCATTTTAATCCCCTTAGCTAGAGATGGGTTACGCATGAATTAGGTGTGTTCAGTGATTAAAAGGAAAAGAATGTCAACATTGAAAGTGTATGTTTATTTGTTATCTGACAAAAAAAATCAATATAGGCGAAGCCATTTGAATTATGTAATAGAGAATTGATAGGAAGTAGTGGATTCGTAAACGATAATCAACGAGCGACTTTAGTCGCAAGTTGATTATTGTTTCCGAATCCCCTTATTCTTATCAATTCTCTAGCTTAACCCATTTCTAGTAAAACGACTGTCTGTTTTATGTTTTGACAATGAATCAACGGAATTTCATAAAAATAATTTCGTATTTTGTCTTTTTTATTCTTTAATAGCTGGAATTGATTGTATCCACACGGTTCGCGTCTATATTTAAGTTAACATAAGTTTAACATAACTTAAAAGGGTTGTTAGCTCCCCTTTTTATTACCAGATTTCATACTTGTATATTTATATTTCATTTAATGTTTTATCATTACAAAGTATTTAAATTATACAGATTTTGGTATTTATGATTTATTCAAAAAGACATATATAAATATACAGAATTTATTTATCTTTTTTTGAATAGTTAAAAAATTCTAATTACCAAAATTTAGAAACCTTTGAAATTTACATATATATAGTATTTCGCAATCTGTGATTGTTTACAGCTGATTAAGGATTGCCAACAATTTAACCGTACTGAGTAAAATACATATATTTAGCGTAGTTGCCATAATACTACAATTTCATGATGCTCCAGCAGAATTGCTCTTTCTACAGATGTACAATGTATAATTATGTCAATTTTTTATTTTTACATTCAAGCTGTTCATAGCCGTGATCGTCTAGTCGTTGGTACCGAAAGACATAACTGTGATATTAACAGTGCAAAGTTCAAACCTTGTACCCGAATTGAAATTTTTTCATTGTAATTGTTTTCTCGACAAAAATATTGTTTTAATCTTAAAGGTAATATATACTTCATTTTCATTTAAAGGCGATGATTTTGTTTCTGGTTTTACAGTCAAAGAAGTAGTTTTACGGTCGTAGCTTATATATCACACTTTATTCAAATTAGAGTCCGTTCAATGTTGACGTGGTGTATGTTTGGACCATTTATAATAAAAAAAAAAGAATTATTGATAGTACGATATCATTATAAGACTAAAACCATAAGTCAGCATTTGCTATGATGAAAAGGAAAAGTCCTTGTACGTTAAAAGTGACAAGTGTAATGGGCATATTGATGTTTATTTTATCAAGGAATTGTACTGATATACACAATTATTTGATTCTCTACTGTTTAGAACTGGTGTGTAATAGCCACAATTGTATGAGACCCATCGGTTCTTTAAAACGATGTTGAAAACCGACCAATGTTCAAACCTGACATCGTGTATAAACTCTTCTTTAAGATATTTCCATACTGCTAAATAACTATACTCAAGAATGTTCAAATGTAGAACATAATCTTCCTTAAAAAATAACGCCCAAAATAAAACAATTTAAATAAATTTGAAAAGAACATGAACAAATCCAGACATAGTATATATAATTTATTAGATAACAAAAGCGAATTATTTCTGAGACAGAAATACAGTTTATTGGCATGTATTGACAGTTGTGCGCTTTAAGAGTGTTATTTAAATATTGATTTATGTCAGCACTCGTGGTATAGTGGTATCATGCATAGACTGAAGACTTTATTGATTATGAAGAAAATACGCGGGAATTCGAACCCTTCATATGCCAAAAAATCGTAAGTTAAAAGTTTAAAGCTATAAAATAAGTTATCTTAAGTTAACGAAGTGGTCAGTGTATTCTTGAAAAGTAATCTATTGTAAGAACAATAGACTGACGTCAGATAAATGGGTTAATACAATTGAACCGATATGTGTATGTCTATTTAGCCTACATCATACTGTTTAATTTAACATGTTGTTTTCATTTGTAGACTTGCTGTGGCATAACTTCTATAAAAAACAGTATTAACATTCATGTATAATACATGGATTATTTTCTTAGGGAAAGTGGAGTAATCTGTGGTAAATTTTTTTTAGTTATTTTCAAAATTGTTGCTCTACATATTTCCAACTTATATCTTTAAAGATTTAAATGCGGTTCAAATTTGATATAAAGGTCACGTATCAGTAAATATTTTGTGTACAGGTTTGCATATTTAAAGATGTAATCCTAGGCACACTTGTGGGTTTCGTATATTGTAAACATAGGGTAAGGGAATGAACGCATTACAGATGAATTTCAATTAACTCATATGTGTGACTCCATTCTTTGCAAAATGGCTTTAGTATCTGCACACAAACATTTTTCAACTAACAATATTTCTTTTCAATACAGGTAATCATCTGAGAACATTGATTATCACGATTACACTAACATGAATGTTATTATGATGTGAGCGTCTAGCCGACTGTCAACTTATCCGTTCATCACATATTTGGGCAAATGATCTAAAATAATGAAACATTTCCATTTGGTCTGCAGTTCATTTAAATTTCAAAAATCTTATTTTGAGCTTAATGAAGAAATCAATGTCTCTCATACCGGAATGTTAATTCGTTGTTAACCTTTTCCTATGACATCCTCCTAAGTCAGTATCAATGACATACATCTATCTCCAGAATACCATAACACTTTAAAAAACAAAAGGTTTATACATGCATAGATTACCTTAGCCGTATTTGGCACACCTTTTTGGAATTTTGGGTCCTCAATGCTCTTCAACTTTGTACTTGTTAGGCTTTATAACTTCTTTAATCTGAGCGTCACTGATGAGTCTTATGTAGACGAAAAGCGCGTCTTGTGTATTAAATTATAATCCTGGTACCTTTGATAACTATTTACACCACTGGGTCGATACCACTGCTGGTGGACGTTTCGTCCCCGAGGGTATCAACAGCCCAGTAGTCAGCACTTCGGTGTTGACATGAATATCAATTATATGGTCATTTTTATAAATGTCCTGTTTACAATACTATGAATTTTTCAAAAAAACTAAGGATATTCTTATCCCAGGCATAGATTACCTTATCCGTATTTGGCACAACTTTTCGGAATTTTGGGTCCTCAATGCTCTTCAACTTTGTACTTGTTTGGATTTATAACTTTTTTTATCTGAGCGTCACTGATGAGTCTTATGTAGACGAAACGCGCGTCTGGCGTATTAAATTATAATCCTGGTACCTTTGATAACTATTTACACCACTGGGTCGATGCCAGCCCAGTTGTCAGCACATCGGTGTTGACATGAATATCAATTATATGGTCATTTGTATAAATTTCCTGTTTACAAAACTATGAATTTTTCGAAAAACTAAGGATGTTCTTATCCCAGGCATAGATTACCTTAACCGTATGTATCCCAACTTTTTGGAATTTTGGGTCCTCAATGCTCTTCAACTTTGTACTTATTTGGCTTTATAACTTTTTTGATCAGAGCGTCACTGATGAGTCTTATGTAGAAGAAAAGCGCGTCTAGTGTATTAAATTATGATCCTGGTAACTTTGATAACTATTTACACCACTGGATCGATGCCACTGCTGGTGAACGTTTCGTTCCCGAGGGTATCACCAGCCCAGTAGTCAGCACTTCGGTGTTGACATGAATATCAATTATATGGTCATTTTTATAAATTTCCTGTTTACAAAACTATGAATTTTTCGAAAAACTAAGGATGTTCTTATCCCAGGCATAGATTACCTTAGTCGTATTTGGCACAACCTTTTGGAATTGTGGGTCCTCAATGCACTTCAACTGTGTACTTGTGTTCATCGAAACGCGCGTTTGGCGTATTAAATTATAATCCTGGTACCTTTGATAACTATTGCCATGAACAATAACCATGCTTGGACAATGTTATTTATTTTCTCAACTCCAGAATAATAATTTATTAATGTTTTAACTAAAACCGACTCAATTGACTATCAACTACCACATAAGGTATAAGTTAACGTTTATATTCAGAATTTCTGTTGATTTAAAAAAATCATATCTTTTAATTTGAAAACGATAACATAGTTAAATAAAATATCAGGTTTAATTTGGAAATTCAATATATTGCAGGTCTTTAAATACAAATGTATCTGGTCAATTGCCTCATTTAATGAAAAATCATTGAATATCTATTGAATATCTATGCTTACGTAATTCCAATTAAAAAACGACGATATTTGGCGTTGTTTGGAATATTACGAAAAACACACATAATTATAATGTTTCTTACAATGATGTAACATTTCAACATGTACTGTTAGAAAAACAATTTATTTCAGGTGTTGAACAAAAACGATACAAGGATACCTTTTAAGTATTCGATCCGTCATTTTGTATATATGCACCTAGTCATGTAAAAATCAATAGGATGAACAATTTGCACATTCCTGATTTTGTTCTTTTGTTATTATCCAAAGATAAAGGCGAACTTTTCAAGAAAATGAACATGTTCAAATCAAAACTGTTACGAGCTTTTTTCTTGTTTAGTTTTGATAGTTTATAGATATAAGAAGATGTGTTATGAGTGCCAATGAGACAACTCTCCATCCAAGTCACGATTTGTAAAAGAAAAACCATTATAGGTCGAAGTACGGTCTTCAACAAGGTTATTTCTTAGCCAATTATATAGTCTTCCAGAAAAGTTTGCAATTGTCAAAAAACTACGCAAATTTACATATCACGTATTCATATATGAAATCGTCCGTCTTAAAAAGAGGTGAAAGACCCGAAAGAGACACTCAAACCTGTACGTATGTGTATCTACGACAAAGGTCTTAATATTTTAAAAAAAAATTTGTACATCATGATATGGAGGAGCTCAACATAATGCTGACTTTTTTCCTCATACAACATGTTCGATTCGTAAAGTAACACAGAGCAACCACTCTCCGAATGAAAAATTGATTTTTATTCATTTTTTGTTATCAATGTATGCGACGCTTTTTCCGCAAATAAAGTTCCATAACTCCTAAATGTCAAATCAGAAATTTATATTAAAAAACGTAAAAGGTGCTTAACTTATTATATAATAGATTTACATTTTACTAAAGTCTGATCAAATCATTCCAATAACTGGAAAATTCATTTACGTATGATATGTTGACGAAGGATGGACGGACAGATATCGGTATACTATATCACGCACATTGTACTATAGCGGGCGAGTAAAAAGGTGTCAAAGTTTTAATTTTTTTTTTTTTTATAAATCGTCACTCTACGTATTTTTTCCAACCTTAATCGTTTCAGATTTAAATGCGATTCAAATGTGGTATGAAGGTAACTTATCAGTAAATAGTTGCTATACCGTTTTTTTCTTATATTTAAATGTTAAGATGTAATCCGAAGCTTCTTCGTCGAAGTTGTGTAATGTTATCATGTGATTATACGATACACGTTGGACAGATACCTAATAAAGTCATACATCGAATATTCACCGAATTTAAAGATATATTTATATATATACAAATACCTGCTAGAAACAATTTTATTAAATAAATCATTGAAAGTGAAAACAAGAAACAGTATAACATCTAGTGTTTTGTATTTTTCGTGACTTTTTCTCACAAGTTACTCTTACAAATACGTATATATGACTGTAACGAAGCAGTTCACATAAAGACATAAGAAAGCAAAATACCCCAAAAATCAAAGAAAGCAACAAAAAGTGTATATCTATATAGATTATGTCCAGAAATAAAGTGTAGGAAACAATTTTGAACGAAATGAAGTTGTATTTTGTGTTGCTCTTAGAGGACAAAGGTTATCATATGTTTATTTTCTGTTATATTTTATCAATATAACTTCACTGCTTCTTATAACAAGTTATTATAATCATTTTATATTTCACGTAGTTCCAAAATAAAAGAAAAATATACCTACCTGTGTAGTTTAAAACGTATTTAATAACATAAATAGTATTTAAAATTAGATTTAAGTGTATGGTGTTTGTGCTATATAATCATGATAATTTTTAACGTGTCCATGCATTTCCGTGGTGATCTAACCACTTTAACAGTATACATAGACTAACTTAAAATCTAACGACCTTCAGGTATTATCACAACTTTACAACAAAGGTAGAATTTTCTTTTGACTCTTTTTTAATAAATGAATTTATTGCGAAAACTTTTATGAGACGGCAACCCATTGATGAAAACATTATCAAATTTAAAAACAAATTGCTCTTTGTCTTTCCACTCAAAATAACTTAAGATAAGAAAATTTTGATGAAAAACAATATGTTCAGGTTTAAGTGATAGCTTATCAAACTCTGATTTTAAAAATTCAATGTTTAAGGAACTTTTTCCATCAATTAAGGGAGAAAATAAGCCACTTCCGTTTCATCAAAGTTACTGCCGGTGTTAAATAATAGCTTACTTTAAACAAATTATAAAAATATATAGTTTCTATATACTTTTGCTTAGAATACGGGAGATAAATTGCTACTTCTAGTTGACATTTTTAAGGTTATATGTCTACTAACCTAATGCAAAAGATCCCAAGGCTTTATTATGTATAACTATGAATCAATAGGAAAGGTCAAAATCTAATATGTCAGTTTTACCCTTGACCTTGAACTACTATGGAAGAGAAATTAGTTCTATCCCTATACAGCTTGATTTGAGTATAAGAGGGGACGATACTCCCATCAAATATCAACACATCCTTTTAAGCAAAATATGTATGTAACGACATGTCGCAAGTATCAGTTTTGTAAAAATATTTAGTCGAAATCTTATACGGTTTCTGAAAAGAAGCAATATAAAGCCAAAATACAAATTCAAAATCTGACCTTTGACCTTTGCCCCATTGGACATCAATTCAAAAGACCTTAGGTCTCTACAATGTATCACTTATGCTTTTGCGGTTGCAAAGGAGATGCGCACATAAAAACAGTGTTTATGGAAAGAACACTTACAATAAAAAGTGTTCGGCTAAACAGGGTCAGGCGTAATAACTGTTCAATATTATATGCAAAAATTCTAAGCGACATCTTGCGAAATCACAAAACACCCGACGAAAAAAATGTGGCTGAAGAAAAAAGAATAATAATAAATAAAAACCAATTGTTCAGCGAAGGTCTTTCTAACCTATCATATGGACAATAATAAAATTGGGTTTGAAATGTCACTTTCAGTGACAAATGATAGCTTATTGTAAGCTGATTTTAAAATTATAGGGTTTCTATACACTTTTGTTTGAAATAAAGGGAGATAATGTGTTACTTCCGGTTTGAAAAATATAACTTTCAGTATAATCTAATAGTTTACTTGACACTGATTTCATGCACCAGAACGAACAGATAAGCAATCATTTCAATAGGTTGCCCCTGTATTGAATGCCGTACAAGATGAAGGTCGGTGAGCTATGAGGGTATATTGGATAGGAACGGAAATTACATTTTGTTTCGCACGAACTGGCCAACTACAAACCCCTCATAGTTGCTGCTTAACAAGAGAGCGTTGCACTCTATTTACTTTAAAAGGCCAATTATTTCGAAAATTACATTATGCGTTCGTTAACGACGTCTTTTTTGTTGGTTTTTCAGTCTACAAAAAAGTGTGGAAAGGATCGTGTAGTCCTAAATCTTCTAATGACTATTTAAGATGGAAATAATACAGTAAGAACGCGATTGGGAACAACACACGATTACTATCAGATAAATTAAATGTTTCAACAATCTGCAGTTTGTATTTTAACAGTGAAATAATGAACTGTATAAAGTCATTATTTTATGCCTTGAAGCACATTTCATTGAAACTTAGTATCGTTCAGTTGATTCTACAAAAGAATGACCTTTCGTTCTGAAAGGACATAACTCCATATAGGTTTATAATGTAATATATTTAAATATAACAATATAATTACTGAACCAATATAATATGTTACAAATCAATTTGTCTTTTCAAAACAAAATTATATTCTTATATCGGACAATAATTAAGTTTTACAATGTTTTACAATGTTCATTTTTTCACACATATAATACTCACTGTATAGGAAAATTGTAAATTTTATGGATATTTTAAAACTTATAATCATACTCACCAGGATACAAATGGTGAAAATATCAGTGTCTTTGTCCATTAAACATTCTTCTAAACAGTATTAGCTTGATACAAGTATTGCTACGGTTGCATGCATTCCCGAACATCTGATAACATAGTAACTCGAATAAACAAAATCACGTGATGTTGAGGGTCACCGCTAAATAAGATATTTTTCATTCAATAACATTAAGATATTTAAATTATACATATTATAATGTTTAAAAATTTTAAATGTCCACAACTTAGAGACGACGACAAAAGAGAGTGTCACTGAAGAAACACAATTTTGGCAAAACAAATTAACATAATCTTAAACTGCCTTGTTTAAACGCATTTCGGGTCAGTTTCCCTATCGAATGTCGGTAGTTTTTACCGAGTACTCCGGCTTCCTACACCAATAAAAACTGGCCGCCAAAAGTGGTGCTTGAAACACCACCAATCAATCAATCAATTAAACGCATTTATTCATGAGATATTCATAATGAACTATGTTTGGTTCAAATAAAGCATTATATCGATATGCACCCCTTTACTTTTACAAGTTAATTGCACTAACATTAAAAACATTGAAACAAATGTAACCTTCTTTTTTCTTCAAAGCTTGATTGATTGATTGCTTTGTGTTTGTTTGCATGCTTAGATTGTCTTTGTTTTAGTCTATATTTTTGCGTAAATTCATGTGGGCCTATAAATACATTTATTTTCTTATTCTAGGCCTCAAACGCCAATAAAGTATTTATGAACAAAATCTCAAACACATATCTGTGGGAAATAGCTCGCCTAGACGAGTGCAGCAAAGCTTGATTTTTCTAATAAAACAACTGTCATCAATCTATTTGCCAGAACACTAAGACCACTGCAGCAAACATGTCTTACAAACATATTACATGTGGTTTCATTTATTTTCGTAGTACATGTACAAATTTTTTTGGACTGAGGAAAACTTGCATATTCGTGGATATTTAAATTCGTGGTTTTGCTAAAGTCTGCATACATTTCTTCAGAAAATTTGCAATTCGTTGAATATTCAAATTCGTGTTTCCCTTGTACCGACGAAAACTAGTATTCTTCGAATATTAATGAATGCACAGTATTTACAAAAAAAAAAGAAATAGAATAGAATTAGCTCATATCATCAAACAATATTTACATAATGTTCTTTCAAATCTGCAGCAAAGACGTAATGCGTTAACAACTAATACAATGAATACAAACAAAAATGTTAACAGGGAGAAGGGAGGTGGAAACTTTATTACATAAACAATGAGCTTCGATTAGTCAAATTTTGAGAATGTATTTTCAATGTAAATTTTTACCGCGAATGGCAAGTCAGTGCTATCATATAAAGAAACTTTAAACTCTTAACTTAGTTAAGGTTCGTCATAACCTTTTCGCAAATATGGCTGTATATACACTACAACTTTCACTCTGAGTACAGACACACCTGTGCATCTGGAAAAGTTTTGAAGCCTGGCTGGACCTAGATAAATAAAATTTAAATGCATTTCACATTTTTCAGAATATTAAAGACTTATTCAGATGTTGCTATTTATTTTTATTTTCTTTTCTTTCCTGCAGAAGGTGGCAAAATAAACTAAGCACGGAAAGAAGTTTTAGAAGCTCCCCTAATATAGTACATGTTGTGAGTTGTATTGATTTAAATGGACAATAGACATCTGCAAACAATAGGTGATTTAAACTGTGTAACTGAGTGGACCGTATCAAATTAATCTCATGTGTTTATTTATTTTGCTATCTTCTGCAGACTGGGAAAAATGCACATCAAAATCCAGGTAACTTTACAATTTTCTGAAACATAGACTTCATATAACTTTTATAAATCTAGGTCAAGCCATGCCTTAAAAAATTCCTAGATGTATCAGTTTGTCTGTACTCATAGTAGATTTTGTGGTGTAAAAACGGCCATATTTTTCAATTCCTTTAGATGAACCTTTACATAAAAAAGTAGATGTGGTGTGATTGCCAATGAGACAACTCTGCACAAGAGACCGAATGACACAGAAATTATCAACTATAGGTCACCGTACGGCCTTCCACAATGAGTAAAGCCCATACCGCATAGTAAGCTATAAAATGCTCCGAAACTACAAATGTAAAACAATTCTAACGAGAAAACTAACGGCCTAATTTATATACAAATAATAAACGAAAAACAAATATGTAACACATCAACATAAGACAACCACTGAATTATAGGCTCCTGACTTGGGACAGGCACATATATACAGAATATGGCGGGGTTAAGGTGACTAATTGTTATACTTAAATAATTTAAATATTATTGTAAACATGAACACATGTTCCTAATAAAACAACAAACCGATGTGCTATTGATAGGAAATAAATAAATTTATAGACGTCAGTATAGAAAATAATGTTCGTCCAACATGAAACTGGATGGCATCGCAGTTTGACTGCCATCATTTAAAACAAACCTTTTTGAAAAATATTCGGATTTGTGCATTCTCGAAAGATTTAAATTCCGAAAAGTGCTTCGGACGCATGAAATTACTGCAATTGGTCAATGCATCTATTAGTGGACTATCAGTCTCCGCAGATATAGTATTACTTGTCATTTGATCCTTGGTAGATAGATGCGTTATTGGCATTTATACCACATCTTCTTATTTTTATATTGTTATAAAACATTGTTGTGACGTCATTATATTGCAATACCCGTTCTTTATTTCAGTGATTGAACAAGCATTCACCTGTAAGAAACCATTACGTTACCTTTAACTGTGCAATATTTTTAGAATAGCCCGGTTCCTCTTTCTTAAAAATATTGGACAGCTGAAGGAAGCATTATTGTTTCATACAGGTAAATAATTGTCCAGCACTGAAGAAAAAAAAATCCACTTTTTTGTCTTCATACGAGTAAAAGAAATGCAACAAAAGATTATATGTCAATTTAACAAAAAACTTTTTATCAAAGTCACCTCCAAATACACCAATTGTATCACTCTTCAAGACAATTCTTGAGAAAATAAATCATTTTCAAATTGATTTTAAAGGGGCACTTCGTTTTGTGTATTTTATTCTTGACGCCATCTAATTAACTATCGAGTTGACCTCAGAAGAACTCCGATGGTCATATAAGCGATATAAACATAAATATAAATAAAAATAGATAGAGAACTCATTACAATTGGAGTTTTCTAGGTCTGTTTAGTTTCATATTATATATATTGATTAAAATATATGTTTATCATTATTTTGCCTGTATAAGAATGATGCTTTGTGGATCTAATTAGTCAATGATTACTTTTAATGTTGACATTCTGTTCCTTTAAATAACAGAACACGCACAATTCATGCGTTATCTATCTCTAGCTAAGGGTTTAATTAAATTCACATGAATACGGATTCAATGAGGTAGAATTATTCCCTTCCAAGTAAATATTTCATCATCAATGTTTCTTAGCTGAATTGGACATAATTGGACCAAACTTAAAGTGAATTATTATTTCAATATTTCACCTTCGTTTTTGATTGCAAAAAAAAAATAAACTTTAGATAATTTAAATGTCTCCAAGCTAGTCCCCTTTTAACACTACTAATTCTTATATCACATCAATTTTTCTTAGGTTTTAGGTTGTTTCCTTAAGCACAATTTTAGTTGATTTTGCTCGTTGTAAGTTTAGTTTTTTATTGCTATAAGGTATTTATTTCTTCCAAAGATTTATCTTTGTCCGTCATTTGATATCAAAATCGACGCTGTTGTAACTCTTATTTTTCCTATCAATCATTTTCAGCTACAATTAAAATGAAAAAAAATTAATAAAGCAATGCTTCTAACTATATGTCATGCCGCAATACAAGGACCATAAGTAAATTAATTGCATACAGGCGGAACCCCAGTTTAATTTCAACAAAAGAAATGGAACTCTGTGTAAGAGAAGGTAAAAACGCGAAGCTAGTAAATTTGAATTGTTTATATCTGTTTCTATGGGCTTTAAACGATTGATGAATGTGCCTAATTTAGAAATTTATGCATCTTACATGTTTTATGTATGTGTTTTTACTTGAATTATTGAATTCAGCTTCAAAATATTTGTACATATTAAATTATAGCCAAATTTTCACAAAACAATCGAATGTGGTAGGTGCACATTTTCGTGGATATTTTTTGTGCATAAGCATAAATTCCGCTGAAAAAAATTGCAAAGAAAGATAATAGAATAATCTTTTCACATCATCAATTTGCATCTCTGCACCGGTGACAGTTTTTTTTTGAAAAAATCCCTGAATCGGCAATAATTTCATTGAAAAGAGAATATCGAGTACACCTTTTTAGGTTCAGGCATGTTGGAGCTGACTAATCAGTCTAAAAAAACATTTGATCCGTCATCTCGCTTCAGATTGTATAATTTTTTATACATTTAGACTGTAGGTTGATACAAAAACACTAAAAATGTACAGTAGTAAAAGATGAAATATATGGTTCAAGTGAAATACCTTTCTAATGAGGCATACCAACAGAGAAGACAGATTTGAATAACAAATGTTTTACTAAAAGTACGTGACGACATTCTTTTCTGCTGGATCTTATAAATGCAAAACTCAAAAAAACTACATTTTCTTTTATATGTGTTATCTAGGGTAATGCATGTAGGTCTTCAATCTCTGAAATTTTATAGTCTGCCCTTCCAAGAAATATTAAACTAGAATTTTCTAAATATTTTTGAACTTTTGAACATTTCCCTTAAAAACCGATCAGACAATCGTTTTAAGTTGAACAAATACATAAAAGCTCAAGCACTGCGTATAGAAAAAGGCAAATACTATAGTATACCCAAAAATGAACGTTTTTGTAGTATGTGTTACAAAAATGCTATAATAATTGAAGAAGAATATCACTTTATTTTAGAATGTGATAATTATAACGACTTCAAGACAAGACAAGACAAACATTTTATTTCCTTCTACACAAGCGAAGAAGAAGCCAAAACATGATAAAGTGTGCATATCAGTCGACAGCAGAGTAGTGTATAATAGCACGTGAGTTTCATGACAATGAGATATATATACATTATATATTACCTATTGATTTTAAAGGATTACATTTGTACAGATATCTTCCTAATTATCAAGTGATTGTGAGTACATTAATATA